CACACTTGTGTCATGAAAAAAATCTCGAGGCACACCACCATGCCAGATGGGGGAAAGGTCACTTTTTACTTATGTAAAAAAAAATAAAAAAATAGTAACAGCATAGAAGGTAATGGTAGATGACTGTTAGGGTCTCCCCCCAAATGCAGAATTCTATTAATATCTTCCTTAGCGAGCCGCGTTAACCCCTGTAATGCTTTCTATAGAGTAAGCATAGGGGACACTGGGGGATGTGGAACCAAGGGGGCAGTGGGCCAAAAGAGTTCGGGATCTACTGCTTTAAACAGAAATAAGAGCCAGTGGGCTCTTCCTTTTTTAAAGTATCGTTTCAGCGGGGACAGCAGTCCGGATTTCCAAAAAGCGGCGCTTTTTTGCGTCTGAGCAAAGAAGAGAGAGAGGGGGAAAAAGAGAGAGAGATTGATTTGTGGCTGCGCAAAGGGGGGAGGAGCCCAGGAGTAAAAGTAGGAAGGACGAAGGGAGGGGAAAGGAAAGTTAATACAGTGGTACCCCGCAAGACGAACGCCTCGCAAGACGGAAAACCCGCTAGACGAAAGGGTTTTCCGTTTTGGAGGCGCTTCGCAAGACGAAGTTCCCTATGGGCTTGCTTCGCAAGACGAAAGCCCATAGGGAAATCTCTGGGACAGCGGGCGGGAGCGCCTCTGCTGTCGCCCGCCAGCATTTTAAAAAGCCCCGGGACAGCGGGGGACTTCTCCGCTGTCCGGGGCGATCTTAAAATGCTGGCGGGCGGGAGCAAAGCCTCCGCTGTCGCCCGCCAGCATTTTAAAAAGCCCCGGGACAGCGGGGGACTTCTCCGCTGTTCCGGGGCAATTTAAAAGCCCCGGACCATGTCCCGATGCCCGGCGGCGGGCGGGAACGCCTCCCCCCGCCGCCCGCCATCGGGACCATGCCCCGATGCCGGGCGGTAGGGCGGGAACGCCTCCACCCGCCGCCCGCCATCGGGACCATTCCACAATGCCGGGGGCGGGTGGGAACGCCTCCCCCCGCCGCCCGCCATCGGGACCATGCCCCGATGCCCGGCGGCAGGCGGGAACGCCTCCCCCCGCCGCCCGCCATCGGGACCATGCCCCAATGCCGGGCGGTGGGGCGGGAACGCCTCCCCCTGCCGCCCGCCATCGGGACCATGCCCCGATGCCGGGGCGGGGGCGGGAACGCCTCCCCCCACCGCCCGCCATCGGGACCATGCCCCGATGCCGGGCGGTGGGGCGGGAACGCCTCCCCCCGCCGCCCGCCATCGGGACCATGCCCCGATGCCGGGCGGCGGGGCCGCGAAGCCTGGGCGCGCTGATCTCAGCGCGCCCAGGCTTCGGCATGCCGGCATCTCTCCACAAGCAGCGCTGCCGCTGCTTGCGGAGAGGTCCGCGAAGCCTGGGCGGACAGCTTTTGAAGGCAGGGGGGGAGCAAAGACTTTCGCCCCCCGCCAGCCTTCAGAAGAGGTCCTGGACCTCTTCTGAAGGCCAGCGGGGGGCAAAAGTCTTTGCTCCCCCCTGCCTGCCTTCCCGGGAGAGCGGAGAAACGCAGCGCTTTTGAAGGCAGGCAGGGGGGAGCAAAGGGAGGGCTTTTGAAGGCAGGCAGGGGGGAGCAAAGACTTTCGCGCCCCCCCCCAGCGCTAGGGCAGCACGCAGGGGGAGGGGAGCGGGCCGGAGGCGGGCGAGGGGGGCCGCGATCCCGCGCGCCGCGAACATGGCCTCCTTCCCCACGGGCCCCGCCGAGCCCCCCGGCCGGGGAGGGCGGCGCGCCCCCGCTGCCGGAGGAGAGCAGAGGCAGGAGGAGGAGGACGAAGGCGCTGCCGAGGAGGCGCGCCAACTTCTGCCAACTTCGGCGCCCGCCCCGTCGCCGCAGGCTCCTCCCGGCCGAGAGCCAGAGGACGGCGGCGGAGCAGGAGGAGAAGGATCGGGTTTGGCGACGGCTGCTGCGTCCTCTCCAAGCGCGGGGCTGGCCTCCGCCGCGCCCGATCCTCCGCGCTCGCCCGCTTCTCGGCGGAGCAGGTCTCGTGCGGGTGCGAGGCGCTGCTGCAGGCGGGCAACCCTGGCCGGCTGGGCCGCTTCCTGGGCTCGCTGCCGCCCGACGCCGAGGCGCCGTGCGACTCGCCCGCCTCTCTAGTCCATGGGGTCACAAAGAGTTGGACACGACTAAATGACTAAACAACAACAAAGGCTCATGAACCTCCATTTATGGCATTTGTACATATTGCCTGGGACGTGGGTGGCGCTGTGGGTTAAACCACAGAGCCTAGGGCTTGCCGATCAGAAGGTCGGTGGTTTGAATCCCCGCGACGGGGTGAGCTCCGGTTGCTTGGTCCCAGCTCCTCCCAACCAAGCAGTTCGAAAGCACGTAAAAGTGCAAGTAGATAAATAGGTACCGCTCCGGCGGGAAGGTAAACGGTGTTTCTGTGCGCTGCTCTGGTTCACCAGAAGCAGCTTAGTCATGCTGGCCCCATGACCCAGAAGCTGTACGCCGGCTCCCTCGGCCAATAAAGCAAGATGAGCGCCGCAACCCCAGAGTCGGCCACGACTGGACCTAATGGTCAGGGGTCCCTTTACCTTACATATTGCCTACTCAGACTGGCATTGCTTCCAGGGTCTCGGGAGGACGTTCCCCATTATCTGATTTTAATTAACCAATCCTTTTCCGAAGAAAATACCGCTGTGATTGAGTCGAGGCGTTCCTGCATGTGGGTCATGTGCTTTACTACAGAACCTTAGCTCCAAAGAAGCGCTGGAGCTCAAAGCAGCAGCTTGGAAAACCCTGTCCACAATTGAACAGCGGCTGCATATTACCAGCAAGGAGGGGAGAAAAATCAGGAAACACTAATAATTCGGAAGGTGGGGGGATGTTACTATTATGCAACATCCTAATTCTGAGGATGTCACAGTTATGTAATTGTGGTTTACTACATCACTTTTCTGTGGAAGAGTAAGTTCTCAGGCACTTCTCATTAAAAATAATAATTAATAAATAAAAGGAGTACATTGCTTACCTCCTTTTATCATTCAAACTGTATATACTAAGGCCGTGGTTCACAAACCATTTCTGCCATGGAGCACTTGAAAATTCCTGAGGGTCTTGGCAGACCACTTAATGATTTTTCTTCCTGTTGCAGCAACTGAAATGTACCGTGCTAGACAATGTGTGGTCCACATTGAATGAGGTTTGCAAATTACCACTTACGGTCTGCAGACTACACTTGGGGATCTCCTGTGCTAAGCTACACAACTGCTTCCAGTTCACACCATCCTTTCTCCACACACAGATTTTGAAGTAAACTCACGGCGCTTGTAGCCAGCTGCGTGAACCACACAGTCAGCCGGTTTTGTGCCTATTCTGTTACCCTTCTGGGCCAGCTTTTAAGAAAGGTCTGTGTGTGGTTTAATTGGGTGCAGAATTTACCTTCTTGAGAATATCCGTTTCTATGAAAGCGAGTTTTTAGTTCTTGTGGTTATGAAGATAGTCAATATCGTAAGTCCCAATAAGTTCTGGAGGGGCAGGACGAGAGTTGGCAGAAGGAGGTCAAGAAGCTGCCAACTGATGACTCTGGAAGAGGGTCCAGGAGGGTATAGAATCACAGAACTGTAGAGTTTGGATTTATTACATTTACTGTATATCCCACCTTTCATCATAGCTGTCAACCGTCCCTTATTTGGTGGGAAACTCCCTTATCCCAGCACTGTGTCCCGGATTGATGATGTCCCTTAAATTTCCCAGGTTTCATGCTCGCCCGGCTCGGGAGGGAAGCAGCGGCTTGGGGTCCTCCGCCTCAAGAGAGAGAGAGAGAGAGAGAGAGAGAGAGCGCACAAGCTGCCGCGTCTCCGTCTCTCCCTTTCCCCTCTCAGGGGCGCGTCGTGAGGAAACGGGTGGTGGCAGGCAGGCAGGCAGCCCCTCTCTTGCGAGACTTCCGCCACGCTGCCAGGGGAACCAGAGGCGGCAGCTGAGGAGGCAGCCTGAGGGGGGAGGAGGAGGAGGAGGGGATGGGGAGGGACGCAGAAGGGCGGCGCTTCAGCGACTGCCGAGGCGCCGAAATCGCCTCATGCCGGGCTCACGGGCGGCGTGGGCGAGAGTCTCTCTCCCTCGCTCTCAGGCGGGGAAGGGCTGATGGAACTCCTGACGTGCTGCTTAGCATCCCCTCCAACCAGTGCAGTGTCTTAATGTAGTGATTTCCCCCTCTGCATCCCTTTCATAACTCTATTTTTATAAATCATTTGTCCATCCATAGTTCAAATTTTTACACGTTTTCTGTCAATCCTACCAATGTATGTAACTCTTTACGATAGCTTTTCAAATAAATTATAAACTTTCCTCATTCTTTATGAAAGAGGTCCTCTTCCTGTTTTCTAATTCTGCCTGTACGCTTTGCCATCTCGACGTCGTCCATCAGTTTTGTCTGCCCCTCTTCTTTGGTGGGAGTTGTAGACCCTTAGGATCATCTAGCCCAACCCCCTGCAAAGCACAGTCAGTGGCAGCCAAAGCAGCATGGCTCCATAAGTGCCGGATTTCTGTATACGTTAAGCAAATTCCCTTATTTTGGCTGCTGATCCCTTATTTTTAATCTGTACAGCGTATTTTTACGCTGTAACGCTGTACTGTTTTTAACACTGATTGGGAGCCACCCAGAGTGGCTGGGGAAACTCAGCCAGATGGGCGGGGTATAAATAATAAATTATTATTATTATTATTATTATTATTATTATTATTAAGGCTGCTGGTCCCTTATTTTCAAATCTGTAAGTTGACAGCTTTTGTCCAAGGAGCTCAGGGTGATGTACGTGGCCTGCTCCCTCTGTCCGTTTTATCCTCACAACAACCCTTTGAGGTAGGACCAGGCTGAGAGACTGTGACTGGCCCCAAAGTCAGTATCCCAGCCTGTGTGTGTACCTATTGGATTTGAAGTTGCTTTTGCAAAGGAAGTAGTTTTTCCACTGTGGAATTGCATTTATATATGGACTTGTCTTGTCACTTGTTTTTGCATGCGATAATGCTTTTAATATTTTTATACATGTATTACTTTGGGGAGATTTTTACATGCACTTGTCTTCATACAAGGAATCGGAGGTGGGGTTTTTTTACACGTTTATTTTGTTTACTGTCTATGTCTTTACAATGAAACCCTTTTAATGGGAAGCGATGGGCTCAATCCATCAATCAACACAATTAATCACAGTCGAAAGGGACGATTGAGTATCTCCACCGGCTTGAGATTGAGTGTCTCCACCGGCTAAGCTATCCCTGCTGTCACGCCATGCATCGTTTGGCCTTCGGAGTGCTATTCACACACATAGTACAACTCCTGCTCGCAACACTCGTCTTCCCACAGGACTCCTTCCTCCGTGCCTGTCCCTGCCCCACAGTTTCCCCATAGGGGATCGCTCGGTTCCCCTTCCCGCCAGCTCTGAGGCTCCTCCACGGCGCTCCCATTGGCCCAAACCCAGTAGCCCCACAGCCCGTGGCGGTGCAGCCCCAGCCAAGCCTTCAGACCCGGCTGGAGCACGACCCTCCCGGCCAGGATCTGGCCTCTGGCATGGCAGGCAGACAGAGCTTCGAACCAGGTGCGGTTGTCCTGAATGATGACAGGGCTCTGATCCAGCAGGGGTCCCGCTAACAGCAAACAGAAAGAGAGAAGAGGTATTAGAGCACGGGTCAGCAAACTTTTCCAGCAGGGGGCCGGTCCACTGTCCCTCAGACCTTGTGGGGGTTCGGACTATATTTTGAAAATAAAAATAAAAATGAACAAATTCCAGTGCCCACAAATAACCCAGAGATGCATCGTGAGAGCCAGTGTGGTGTAGTGGTTAAGAGCGGTAGTCACGTAATCTGGTAAACTGGGTTCGCTTCCCCGCTCCTCCACATGCAGCTGCTGGGTGACCTTGGGCTAGTCACACTTCTCTGGAGTCTCTCAGCCCAACTCACCTCACAGAGTGTTTGTTGTGGGGGAGGAAGGGAAAGGAGAGTGTTAGCCGCTTTGAGACACCTGAAGGGGAGTGAAAGGCGGGATATCAAATCCAAACTCTTCTTCTTCTTCTTCTTAAATCAAAGCACACATTCTACTCGTGTAAAAACATTCTGATTCCCGGACCGTCCGCGGGCCGGATTGAGAAGGCGATTGGGCCAGATCCGGCCCCAAGGCCTTAGTTTGCCTACCCATGTATTAGAGGCACCCTTTCCCCACCCCTTTACATTGGTACCTCGGGCTACATACGCTTCAGGTTACAGACTCTGCTAACCCAGAAATAGTACCTCAGGTTAAGAACTTTACCTCAGGATGAGAACAGAAATCACGTGGTGGCAGCGGGAGGCCCCATTAGCTAAAGTGGTGTTTCAGGCTAAAAACAACCCTCTCCCCCCCATCCTGCCACAAAGCTTTCCAAAGGCAACAAAACAGTGATCTGTCTCCAGGATGTAAAAGGTAAAGGGACCCCTGACCGTTAGGTCCAGTCGTGGACAACTCTGGGGTTGCGGCACTTATTTCGCTTTATTAGCCGAGGGAGCCAGCGTGCAGCTTCCGGGTCACGTGGCCAGCATGACTAAGCCACTTCTGGAGAACCAGAGCAGCGCACGGAAACGTCATTTACCTTCCCACCGGAGCGGTACCTATTTATCTACTTGTACTTTGACGTGCTTTCGAACTGCTAGGTTGGCAGGAGCAGGGACTGAGCAATGGGAGCTCACCCCGTCACGGGGATTCGAACCGCTGACATTCTGATCGGCAAGTCCTAGGCTCTGTGGTTTAACCCACAGCGCCACCCGAGTCCAGGATGTACCTTTTGTTAAATCGGAAGCAGAGAAAGTTGCCAGCTCTGTGTTTCTGGTCTCTTGCTCAGGCCTGTGTTGGGTTGAGGAGAGATCCTGAACTGCAGTGGGAAAAGGGAGCTCGTTTCCATCAGTAGTTGCAGGGTCGTACCCTAAGGAGACAAGATACCCAATTATTTTGCATTTGGACTCAGATCAGCCCCAGTCATCAGGCACGATGGTTGGAGGTGATGGGACTTGTAGTCTGGCTACATCTGGAGTTCCACAATTTTCCCGTGAAAAGCTGGAACTGGGATACTCAGCCCAGAGCTTAGGTTGCATAGTTTTTTGGGGATTAAGAGGAGCCCATTTGGTCCAGAACCCTGTTTTCACAGTGGCCAACCAGATGCCCAAAGGGAAGCATATGGTATTACTGGTGAGTAGGACTCTTGAGCCTTCTTCAGTTCCAGGACTGTACAGTGGTACCACGGGCTACAGACGCTTCAGGTTACAGACGCTTCAGGTTACAGACTCCGCTAACCCAGAAATAGTACTTTGGGTTAAGAACTTTACCTCAGGATGAGAACAGAACTTGTGTGGTAGCGGCGTAGCGGCAGCGGGAGGCCCCATTAGCTAAAGTGATACCTCAGGTTAAGAACAGTTTCAGGTTAAGATCGGATCTCCAGAACGAATTAAGTTCTTAAACCGAGGTACCACTGTATCTGGATTACTGATAGGCAGGCAATATGTGACCTTAACCAAATATCAAGAACTAGGCCCCTGGTTCTCCCCATTCTGCTCTCTTGTGTTTTGTCACTGTTATAGGAATTTTAAGGTCTTATATATAAAAAATAATTGTTCATAACTGTACAAGGCAAACACATACATACATACATACATACATACATAATAAATATGTAAGTAAACTACATGTCTGGAAATAGTACAGGAAAACAGTCCTTTTGACTCTTCCAGTGACCTCAAATATTTCTCTGCAAGGAGGAAAGAAATGGAAAAGCCTCCCCATTGTCTCTTTGTTCACAAATCCTGTCTTAAGGGTGTGTCTGTATGAACAAGGTGAGCCTGGGACCTGGATTCAGGAATTAAGTAGTTATCATCACAAAAGAGTGGCCAAATGGCCCAGGTAATGCAATAAGTGATCCATTATCAGGTATCCTGGCAGACAGGAGAAAAACAACACACTCATATTTCTGCTGTAGACCGCCCCTTCTGTGATATATGTATGATGTATTGGGGGTGGTCTTGAGCTACAGGGGAGGCAATTTCAAATGTCTATATAAGAGTTTGCACACCAATGTTCTGGGTCTCCTCCTCCCTCCTGCATGTGGGGGGGGGGCGCGACCCTGTTGCAATAGCTTTAATAAAGATCAAGCTTACTAGCTGCTTTGGTTTTCTCAATATTCTCTGGCTGGCCTCTGTTATTTTCTCCTACCGATAGAGAACCTACATAAGGACTCAATTCAGGCTCTTTGGTAACCCATAAGGGAAAAGGAGCAGTTTTTTTCTTATCTTCTTCTTCTTTGGCGATCACTCGTAGCCGAGTAAGATTGTCTTCCATAAAAACACAGTTTTAACAATGAGTCTGTAAGTGACTGTATAGGCCAATTCTGGACCCACACGTCCTTCCACAGCAGGAGCTGATCACGGTGTGAATTTGCCAAGCGTGCCCGTGCCTTCCTCCTAGCATGTTTCTCCCTTGTGTCCTGAGTTCGAGCGTCTTCAAAGCCCATGACACCTTTGGTAAAGGCTGTTCTCCAACTGGAGCACTCACAGGCCAGTGTTTCCCAGTTGTCAGTGTTTATACTACATTTTTTTAGATTTGCCTTGAGACAGTCTTTAAACCTCTTTTGTTGACCACCAGCATTACGCTTTCCATTTTTAAGTTCGGAATAGAGTAGTTGCTTTGGAAGACGATCATCAGGCATCCACACAACATGACCAGTCCTTTACCTTTTTTTCTTACAACATCACTCTTTTCCATTTCCCTTCTTCACTCCTCCAGGAGTGGAAAAAACTCACCATCGCTGGATCCGGCTGAGAACCGTTTACTTGTCACAGGTATCCAGGAATCTGAAGCTGCACCACTTGCTGTGGGAGGGGAAGTCACTAAGAGGAAAGATTTTAAGAATTAGTCCCACCGCCATTCACTACCTTCCTCCCCACCCACCCCAAAATATTATAGGGTCGTAACTTAGACGCAAACAGCTTTGTGAGTATTTGCGTTGTGGGGGAAGTCGAGTTGAATTCTTGACTTTAGAAAGCCACATCCTGGGACCTGTGTAAATTATGCAAAGGAGCTGGATTTGCATCGACCGGTTTTGCAGAATTTGTTTGGCTTCTGGCGTTCAGGGGATAATCCCCTGGCCGCAAGAAACCAAGGCTGTAATCTAGGCTTAATGCTAAGTCTCTCATGATTATTCTCGCACAGCAAGATGTTCTCTCCCTATTCTCCCCGTGTGACCCCCCCTAAATCTGTTCTGGCTGTTTCCCACAACCCCGTGGAGCAGATTCGGGAAGGGTGCAAGGGGTGAAGAAGGGGGGGAAATTCCTATTGGGCAAGTAGAAATCGTAGTGCCGAAGGGACAGAGCAGCTGAATACTGCCCATAATGCGGAAGCACCCTGAGCCACAATATTAATACTGTCAACCATGGTTCTTGCTCTGTGTATACATCAGGGGTGGGAAACCTGTGAACCTTCTCACGTTGTTGAACTACAACTCCCATCATCCCTAACTTGTGACAGGGATGGTGGGAGTTGGGATCCAACAATATCTGCCAGGCTGCAGGTTCACCATCCCTGGAGTAAGGGATATGGTTTCCTACTTGTGCCCACCTCACTCCAGGAAGCCCTATGAGGCGCAGATACCGTTTCCCTCAGTGTTGAAACTGAGGATGTTTCACCGGCCTGCAATCTGAGATTTTCTAAGATTCCATTGATACCTAGGTGTGTGGCAATCTTGTACGCAGCTCTGATTCTGACCGTTGCTGATAGATATGTCCACTCTTAAATCACAGGATGAACATTTTAGTCTGATGCAGGAGCTGGCAATGAGAGCTTATGCCAGGGGTCAGCAAACTTTTTCAGCAGGGGGCCGGTCCACTGTCCCACAGACCTTGTGGGGGGCCGGACTATATTTTGAAGGAAAAAATGAACGCATTCCTATGCCCCACAAATAACCCAGAGAAGCATTTTAAACAAAAGCACACATTCTACTCATGTGAAAACACCAGGCAGGCCCCACAAATAACCCAGAGATGCATTTCAAATAAAAGGACACATTCTACTCATGTAAAAACACACTGATTCCCAGACCGTCCGTGGGCCAGATTTAGAAGGCGGTTGGGCCGCATCTGGGCCCCAGGCCTTAGTTTGCCTATCCATGGCTTGTGTGGTTGTGGTAAATGGATCCAAATCAGAATCAGGGAGACATGGGTTTGAATTCCAACCGCAAAATGCATTATGTGGCCTTGGGACGGCTGTGTACTCTCGGCCTAAGCCACTTCAGAGGATAATTCAGGAGATGAGATCCTTGGATGCGGTCTTCCAGTGGTCTGACTTGGTTTAAGTCAGCTTCCTAATATAGTAGAGGACTGGGCAATATGGAACAACACAACCAAGAGGCAAACTAATAGCAATGAGGGGCTGGATAGAAATCTGCTTTTCTTGAAAATAACATTTGTTTGTTTGCTTTATAAAAATATTTCTACACTGCTATATCATCAAACATAAATGCATCAAAGTAGTTTGCAGCAATAAAACCATGAAATAGTTAAAAGCAGATATCAATTAAGCGTTGTAGAATAACAATAGGAAGTGGATAGCTCAGTTGGTTAACAACACCACCACCACCACCAACAACAACAACAAAACCCGGTCCTCTGGCACTCTGGGCAGCTTCCAGTACATATGGTTAGCTCATAGTGCTGATAACGCCAAGGTTTCAGGTTTGATCCTCCTAAGGGACATTGCAGGGGAGGGTCCTTTCCAACTCTATGATTCTATGAGATTCTGTTAGAATAATAATAAAAAACCTAATGCTCAATTGCTCCCCCTAGAGGCAAACAGAGGAATTACCAGGTTTTCACAAGCCTGAGTGCCCCTGCACCCACGGATCTTTCCCTGGCACTTTCAGAGTCCTGTTCCCCATCCCCTCCACCACTTGCTAAAATCAGGCTTGGGAAAAGCCTGCTACAGATTTAGGATACCTACCAGCGATGGTCGACTGCGGGGCAGGAGTCAACACGTCCTTCTGGTCAGGTATGGAGCGGCAGTTTAGCAGGAGTTGGAGAAGAAAAGGAAGAGCACCTGTAGGCCCTGAAAGGCAGAATATAGGAGACCCTTTTTCGAAGTGATTCTTTATCCACGCTTTGCTTCTCTTATTACTGGGAACTGTAGTTTCCCCCCTCTCAAGTCTCCCAGCACCCTTAAACAAATTACAGCTACCATTATTCTGAATGGGGGGATGGGTCGTGTGCTTCAAATGCGTGTCAAACGTTCTTTGAACGTGTGATGTGGATTTAGGTGCTGAGCTTTTCCAGTGACGTAGCCAAAACAGGGGTACTGAGACACAAGAGGGAGGTAACAGCTGTTAGAATTCCTGCTCCGTGATTGCAGTCATGGGATTATTGTCTATCACAAGACGGTGTATGTTTTGACTCCACAGAGTGGGAAGTGACGGAGACAAGATGTTTGTGTTACTGTGGGACTATTGTCCTTTGTTCTTTCTCTCTTTGCTGTCTGATGCTAGAGAGAGAAGGAGCCATGTTGCAGTGCTCCGTGTGTGTTTATATGTAAATAAAGTAGATTAGCCAAAATGCTGAGTTGCTGAAGTCTGTTAAGCGAGATGCGCAAACTCTGTGGATCCCCAAGTGTGCCGGTGTCGGTTGGCATCGGTCGCTGTGATGTTCAGGCAGAAGAAAGCTTTTGAAGCTCCTGAACAATCAACCAGGAAGGAGAGAACATGCCAGTCGGGCATGTGTCTCTGCCAGGATCCTACTCGAGTGTAGACTGAACTCCCGACAAGAGCATGCTCACATGTGGAGGTGTCTTGGTCTTGTTTAGTTCTTGTTCTTATTATGCGTTTTTGTGTTTTTCGCCTCTTATTTTTGCGTTGTCACTCGCCACTCACCTTTACAGCACACAAAAGGATGCTTCTGGAGGCATTTCTCTTGATACCACAGGCTCTCGTTCATAACCGCACAGCTCTCCGAAGTCCTGGATGCTGGGCTCCACTGCGTAAACTTATAGGGGTCACCATTAAGCCAGACCCAGGAGAGGCCCTGGCGGTACAGCCCGATCCAGAACGAGCAATTGGGGCAGAGGGAGGCAGCCTGCTCCATATCCCTGTCATCCCGGAAACCTGCCAGCCGGGTGCCCTGTCGAAGGCAGTAGCAATGGGCTCCGAGCATGGTTTGCGGGTCCTGGATGAGGAAGTATTCGCGGTCTGAGGACAGGAGCGATGCCATGGCGACTGTGTAGAGAAAGAACAAAGAGAAAAGGCACCCAAATATGTTATGTACTGAAGTTCTCACTCTGGGCCTGCAGGGGGATACTGTAGATAGTTTTCACTCAGGTCCACATATGCAAATAAGGGTTTGAAAGTGACGTTCAGTGATTGGATAGTTACAGAAAGTGTTACAGTTGCGTTGTAGTGGAGCTCTATATAAGCAGGCCGGCTGAACCCTTCAGTTTAGTTCTGGCCTGTGAATAAATAAGAGCTGTTTGAAGATGCGCTGTGTCGTCTGATATGTTCACCCACAACTTAACAAAATATATCCGGTATCGAAAGGGGGTTGGACTAGACATGGGGTCCTTGCCAACCCCACAGTTCTATGGTTCCGAACCCTGACTTACTCTGTCCAGATTTCATGACTGGAAATCGTAATGATTTATCACATTAAGCTGCCGTTGTTCTGAAAACAACAGGAAGATTTAAAGGAACTATTAGAAATGACTATCAAAGCACTAGAGATATGAGATGACCAGAGCCCCCCCCCCCGAACTTGAAGCATGGGAAGTCCCAATAAAAAAATAATAATTTGGCAGAATATTTGGATTAATTGATATGTATATGTATAATTTAGAATACTTAATGTGATTTGATTGGATTGTTAAAATGGAAAACTTAATAAAAATGATTTTTTAAGAAAAAGCTGCCGTTGTTCTGAGGCGCTTTGGACAGTAAGTGCTGGGATTAAAAAAAAAATCCTCACAACAACCCTGTGAGGTAAGTTAGGCTGAGCGTCAGTGACTGACTCCAAGGCCAGAACCCCTGGGTTAGCGGAGTCTGTAACCTGAAGTGTATGTAACCTCAAGCATATGTAACCCAAGTTACCACTGTAACCCGCTTTTCAGCCCGCCAAAAAGATCCCAGAGTGGTTTACACACAACCCGTTGAAACAGGGCAGTCCCTGCCCACAGGCTTAGAATCCTAAAGGACACGGCACAAAAGGAAACACGGGCACGGAGGGAAGAGGACAAAAAGTGAAGCCGGGCATAAATTCTTAAAAGTCGAATGGTCAGGGACGCGGACTTATAAAAAATATTGGGGGGGCCCGGGAAAGCTCATGAATAATAAATAAGCTCGTGAATATGCAAATAAAGTGGCGCCGCCTCCTCGTGAGCGAATAGGGGAGAGCGTGCTGCGCCTATTAATCAGCTCCAAAGGAAATTGGGTGGAGCTTTTGCTCGGGAGGGAGGGCAGGAGGCATGCAGCCCGCCCCTCCCTGTGCATTTTGGGCTGGGGGAGGGGCGGCGATGGCGCTCTGCTGGAGGGGCGCCGGAGATTATTGGGGGGGCGGAGCCCCCCCAAACGAATTTTTGAGGGGGCTCGGGCCCCCTCAAGCCCCATGGAGTCGGCACCTATGCGAATGGTCAGTCGTATTATGCTCAGTTCTACAGTGGTACCTCGGGTTATAGATGCTTCAGGTTACAGACGCTTCAGGCTACAGACGCTTCAGGTTACAGACTCTCCTAACCCAGAAATAGTACTTCGGGTTAAGAACTTTGCTTCAGGATGAGAACAGAAATCGTGCTCCGGCGGCGCAGCAGCAGCAGGAGGCCCCATTAGCTAAAGTGGTGCTTCAGGTTAAGAACGGTTTCAGGTTAAGAACGGACCTCCGGAACGAATTAAGTACTTAACCCGAGGTACCACTGTATCATGGAAACAGTTCAGGGACAGGAGCAGAGTGATGGAACTGGTCTTGGGACCAAAGCTGATGGAATGGTCTGCTTCCCACCGCTCCTCCTGAGGCAACCCGCTAATGGTTGCTGCGAGGTGGCAGTTGTGTGTGAGAAGACTCAGTGGAGTGTCAGTGCTAGTGGATTGGGCCCAACTCCCCAGCTCTCCTCTAGAGGCTGCCTGCTTTAACGGCTGGTTCCAGGTGGCAGTTGAGGCATCCCTACTACTTACTTGGGAGTAAGTCCCAAGTGCCCCTAACCCAGTTCTGGTACTGGTGAGTAAGTGCCCCTAACCCAGTTCTGGGCACCACAGTTCAAGAAGGACACTGACAAACTGGAACGTGTCCAGAGGAGGGCAACCAAATTGGTCAAAGGCCTGGAAACGATGCCTTATGAGGAACGGCTAAGGGAGCTGGGCATGTTTAGCCTGGAGAAGAGGAGGCTAAGGGGTGATATGATAGCCATGTTCAAATATATAAAAGGACGTGATATGGAGGAGGGAGAAAGGTTGTTTTCTGCTGCTCCAGAGAAGCAGACACGGAGCAATGGATCCAAACTACAAGAAAGAAGATTCCACCTAAACATTAGGAAGAACTTCCTGACAGTAAGAGCTGTTCGACAGTGGAATTTGCTGCCAAGGAGTGTGGTGGAGTCTCCTACTTTGGAGGTCTTTAAGCAGAGGCTTGACAGCCATATGTCAGGAGTGCTCTGATGGTGTTTCCTGCTTGGCAGGGGGTTGGACTCGATGGCCCTTGTGGTCTCTTCCAACTCTATGATTCTATGATTCTATGACTCAGTGGAGTGTCAGTGCTAATGGATTGGGCCCAACTCCCCAGCTCTCCTCTAGAGGCTGCCTGCTTTAACGGCTGGTTCCAGGTGGCAGTTGAGGCACCCCTACTACTTACTTAGGAGTAAGTCCCATTTAAAGGAATTGGCATGCGAACAATGCCTCCTAAAATCCTCTTTTCTACACAACTACGAAAGGTGCAGAAGCCTTTCAGTGGAACTTACTTCTGAGTAAACATGCACAGGATGACACTATTAATGCATTAATTCCCCTATGTCTGTTTTTTTAAAATTTTATTTTATAAAATAAAGAGGCAGACAAATAGATTTAGTTCAGAATCAATTCTGGGCCTCTTCGTTGCAAATACTTTGAGTGGGATAAATTTCACTTACCCCCTAGAAGGATAGCCGACAAGAAAAGCTTCATAGCGATGCAAAAGGGGTTTCTTCAAACCCAGGCAGGTTCCAAGCGCCCAAAAAGTGCCGAGGTGCTAGGCTGCGAAAGTCAACTTCTGGGAAATTATGTCCTTGCTTGGGAGACTTAAAGCCTAGGTGTGTCTGAATGATGAAGAGAAGGACCTAGTTTTGGTCAGGATTCCACCTGAGGCAACAGCCTTGTCCACAAGATTATGCGAAAGGAAAGGAAAGAATATTTGACTTTCAAATTGAGGCATAGGCACAGAAACATCCTGTCTTCCTAGGGCGCTGAGCTGGAGACAGGTCCTTCCTTACTTTGGAAACCAGATCTCAGAGAACAAACAAGAGCTGTTTGGTCTCCATCCTGCATTGCACAGGTGTTCCCTGAGGAGCATCCATTCATTGAACTCCTGCTCCATAACTGCCAAGTGCATCCCATTTTTTAATCCGAGATCATGGCGGCCATTTTGGGTTCCGCGATCTCAAGCTACGCTCTAGCTCCTAAAAAAAATAAAAAGCGCTTTTCCCGGGGCTTTCCTCAAGGTGAGAACGAGGTGCAAGCAACGTGACTTGCCTAGGAGCGGGTCCCAGATGACGCACGTCCCGGGTTTGGGTCTCCAAAAGCTGGAAGCAGTGCTGGATTTACGTATAAGCTAAACAAGCTATAGCTTAGCGCCCCACTCTCTTGGGTGGGGATGGATAGGTTTGATCTTCTTGCAGTCCATGGGACTCTCAAGAGTCTCCTCCAGCACCAGAATTCAAAAGTATCAATTCTTGGGCGATCAGCCTTCTTTATGGTCCAGCTCTCACTTCCATACATCACTACTGGGAAAACCATAGCTTTAACTATACGGACCTTTGTTGGCAAGGTGATGTCTCTCCTTTTTAAGATGCTGTCTAGGTTTGTCATGGCTTTTCTCCCAAGAAGCAGGCGTCTTTTAATTTTGTGGCTGCTATCACCATCTACAGTGATCATGGAGCCCAAGAAAGTAAAATCTCTCACTTCCCCTCCCCCTCCATTTCTTCCCCTTCTATTTGCCAGGAGGTGATGGGACCAGTGGCCATGATTTAGTTCAGGGGTCTGCAACCTTTAAGACAAAATGAGCCACTTGGACCCGTTTCCGAAGAAAAAAAAACTGGGAGCCGCAAAACTCGTCATTATAAAAATAACTTTTTTGTCACTTTTTTATTATTTCTTTGTTTGACCCCTCAGAATTACTCCTCCTCATAGAAATAAACGTTAAATTAACAAGTTACCTTTGTGTGTGTGTGTGTTCTTCACTCCCCTTCAAAACAGTGACCAGCGTACATGCCCCCTTTCAATGCAGTGACCAGCGTACATGCCCCTTACAATGTAGCGGGCGGGCGGGCGGGAAGGTGACGTCGGGACGGTGCGTGACTAACGCACGCACCGCCCCCATGCGATGTCACAGCCAGTACAGCGCCCGCCACAGTGGGGAGTGTCGGGGCGCACAATGCGCCTCCTCCCCTCGCTAGTATCCGCCCTTGAGCCGCGGCAAAGGTGTAAAAGAGCCACATGTGGCTCTGGAGCCGCAGGTTGCCGACCCCTGATTTAGTTTCTTAGTTTCTTTTGACGTTGAGCTTCAGACCATATTTTGCGCTCTCCTCTTTTACCCTCATTAAAAGGTTCTTTAATTCCTCCTCACTTTCTGCCATCAAGGTTGTGTCATCTGCATATCTGAGGTTGTTGATATTTCTTCCGACGATCTTAATTCTGGCTTGGGATTCATCCAGTCCAGCCTTTTGTATGATGAATTCTGCATATAAGTTAAATAAGCAGGGAGACAATATACAGCCTTGTCGTACTCCTTTCCCAATTATCATGGAAAATATGGATTGATACAATAGTTAAAAGCTGGAAGAAGATGCAGTTTTAAATGTTTAAAATGAGACTCCAGGGAGGAGGTGGGGGAAGTCCTGAGATGTGGAGGAATCTCTGTATATGTATATGGATATATATATATATATATATATGCAGGTTTTGGTGTCCTCGGGTGTCTTCCCGTGTAAAAGTTGGGGTGTCTAGGCGACGTTTCGACGAGGTCTCACTCGTCATCTTCAGGCTGGTGCTTTCGGCTTCTTGTTACTGGAACAGAGCAGGATCTCAGTGTTTGAGTTCCTATAAATACTGTTGAGGGGGTGTGGTGTATAGCCTCCAATGTTCTGGGCAGAGAGGAAGTTCCCAGGTTAGTGTGCCTTTTCTTCTTTTGTTCCTTAATTACTTGAGGGATATCTTGAGTGATTTCTTGAGTGATATCCTGAGTACCACTTAGGTGGGTCATTAGGTGTGGATTAGTTGCTAAAGCCTTCGTGGACACAGAAGAAAACAATGGCATGGCCCTCCTTCCTTATATCAAGGGCACTACAGATAAAATCAGCAAAATCCTCCATAAACACAATATCAAAACAGCCTTTTGCACCAACCAAAAAATAGCCAATATCCTCAGAAACCCCAAGGATAAAATCCAGTTGGAAAACCAAGGGGTCTATGAAATACCCTGCAAAGTCTGCCCAGCCACGTACATTGGACAAACAAACAGACGAATAAATGCACGTATCGCAGAACACAAGAATGCCGTCAAAAAAGAAGAAAAAACTTCCTCTCTTTTCCAACACATGAAAGAAACAGGACACGAAATTAATTTTGCAGATTCCAAATTGCTCTCTAACATGGAACATCACCACAAGAGAATAATCATGGAAGCCATCGAGATAGAGAAACACCCTCACAACATGAACAAGCGTGACGACACATCCCGCCTGCCAGACATCTGGAAATTAGCCCTCCCCACAAAAACCGACACCAGATCCAGAGGCACACAGAACGCCATCACCAATCAACCACACCAGACCCAAACCCAGACCCTCTCCACAGATAAATTACAGACACCATCCAGTAGCCAAACCATGGTGGCACCTCCAGATGCTGCACCCCCCTGCAATCCCTACACAGATCTGGCTGGCACAGGACACAAAACCACAGCTCGCCCCTATACACGAAGCCAAGCCAGAGCACAACTAATTGCAGTACAGCCATCTTCTCAGAAAAACTCTTCACAAAGTTCAAGAGGTCAAGACACGAAGGCTTTAGCAACTAATCCACACCTAATGACCCACCTAAGTGGTACTCAGGATATCACTCAAGAAATCACTCAAGATATCCCTCAAGTAATTAAGGAACAAAAGAAGAAAAGGCACACTAACCTGGGAACTTCCTCTCTGCCCAGAACATTGGAGGCTATACACCACACCCCCTCAACAGTATTTATAGGAACTCAAACACTGAGATCCTGCTCTGTTCCAGTAACAAGAAGCCGAAAGCACCAGCCTGAAGATGACGAGTGAGACCTCGTCGAAACGTCGCCTAGACACCCCAACTTTTACACGGGAAGACACCCGAGGACACCAAAACCTGCATTCCTGTACCCGTGAAAATCTACGAAAGCATATATATATATATATATATATAATTCTTTCCAATTCTGTATTGTAAAATCATGTAAAAATGATTTTTATTTTTTACAAAAAGGTACCGTAGAGTCGGAAAAGGTTCAGAAACGAGGCAAAATTATTTTTGCACTTCAGCTAATGTAGTAAAAATGGCACCGTTCATGTAGACTAGGTAGCGGGGGAAACCCCGAGGTTTCCAAAAGTACAACAAATATTTAGGGGGAAACCCTATGGGGAGAGAGAAAATCCAAAACAGACCAAAGGGAACAGAGTGTGCTCAGTAGGCATGGGATGTGTGTTTTTCTTTGGGGGGGGGAGAACCAACTAATAAATGGAATGGGTAGGGGATGGAATAGGAAAATCTGGGCTACTTTACGAACAGCGCTCCATGTTGCAACATTTTGCTGCGGTACTGTTGAAGCCGTCTTAGGCTGCAGGTGGCCGGAGGCAGAGCCTTCCACTTTTTAAAAGCGACGATCTGCACATGGTGGAGAATTTTGAGAACCGGGGTTTTTCCTGCAGTCATTTCTTCCAAAGCAGCCTGAGCAGTAGCGTGACTTACTGGTGCTACACTTCTGCAGCAATGAGGAAACCAGTCACAAGTCAGATGAGGCAGAATTCTGGCCTCCCGCCAGCACAACCGATGGTTGAAAGTGATGGGCTTTGTAGTCCGACAACGTCTGGCAGCGTACAAATTCCCCATCCCGCCTCTCCTAGTATGCCCCGCGGAGGACCTTAAGGTCCACAAATGACAACATTCTGGAGGTCCCAAGTCGCAAGGTGGTTAGATTGGTCTCAACTAGGGCCAGGGCCTTTTCAGTACTGGCCCCGACTCAGTGGAACGCTCTGTCACAAGAGACCAGGGCCCTGCGGGACTTGACATCTTTCCGCAGGGCCTGCAAGACAGAGCTGTTCCACCTGGCCTTTGGTTTGGACTCAGTCTGACCCTTATGTTTCCTTCCCCTCATGGTTTTGACTTTTAAAATGAGGCTGCATTTTAAATTGCATTTTAACCTGTATTTTAATTTTTTTCTTCTTATTATGTTTGTACTGAAATTTTATTGATGTTAGCCGCCCTGAGCTCTGGCTGGGGAGGGCGGGGTATAAATAAATTTATTATTATTATTATTGTTGTGTATTGAGTCAAAGGATTTTATATCTGTATTATTATTGTCTGTATTTGCATTAGGGTAAAGTAACTGCCTTTTGGTTCCAGAGGGTACAGCTACTATTGGTTCATTTAAGCTGCTGTATTTGGATCCTCTGTCTTATTGGTTTCCTCCAAAAGGCAGGACTGTGATTGCCTGATATTGTTCCTTCCAAAATGTATCCTTTCTAGCTAGTTCCCTGTCCCTATAAATGTAGCTCTCCCCTCCTCAAGTCTTAGTCTTGTTTGCTTTAATAAAGAAGTGTTACTAGAGAACTGACGCCAGCATATTATATCAAGAGAGCTGAAATCACAAACCCCACGTCACAACAATTATTATTATTATTATTATTATTATTATTATTATTATTATTAATTATCCCTGCTCTCTGCTGCTTAAGACCTTGCTATCTTCTGGAAACCACAGGAAGGGAGAGTGCTCTTGAACTTGGGTCCTGCCTGAGCATTTCCCACAGGCGTCTTGTTGGCCCCTGTGAGAACAGGATGCTGGACTAAATGACTCATGTCTCCAAAGGACCAATTCTCCCCCATGAGTCTGCCCAGTTATTCAGATTAGTATCTTTCCCAGGCATCCCCATCAGAAACTGGGGAGAGGGCATTTCAGCTATGGAAACTTTGCTGATGAGATGCTCTCCCAGCTCTGAAATTCAAGGGCTGGGGGAAGTCCTCTTTTCTTTATCTGAAAGACGTCAAGCTGCACATTACAATTACAGTGGTACCTCGGGTTACATAAGCTTCAGGTTACATACGCTTCAGGTTACAGACTTCGCTAACCCAGAAATAGTACCTCGGGTTAAGAACTTTGCTTCAGGATAAGAACAGAAATTGTGCTCCAGCGGCACGGCGGCAGCAGGAGGCCCCATTAGCTAAAGTGGTACCTCAGGTTAAGAACAGTTTCAGGTTAAGAACGGACCTCCGGAACGAATTAAGGTACCACTGTATCTTTATTGTCATTGTCCCATACAGAACAATGAAATT